TATGTGTCGTGCTTATTCATTGTCCATTTGCTCTGTCCCCAAAAAGTACCCCCCCAATTCCCCATCTTGTCACGTCAAGTATATACTCTTGTCATATTATAATCCATTGCTAAACATTGGTATTAGTACACCTACAGTACGTAATGAAGTACAAACTGGATTTGTCTTGCCTGTCATAATCTGCAGATTTGGTTTCTGTACTGAGATGCATTTACCTTGACATTGTCCTTATAAATTACTGCATTGTGCCTAAACCAATTGTCCCACAAATATGAGCTGTTTTGTTTGTGCCATCATTCTGTTACCATTCTGTTACCGTGGTCCTCTGTAGCTCAGCTGGTAGAGCACGGCGCTTGTAACGCCAAGGTAGTGGGTTCGATCCCCGGGACCACCCATACACAAAAATGTATGCACACATGACTGTAAGTCGCTTTGGATAAAAGCGTCTGCTAAATGGCATATTATTATATTTATTATAAACTTTGCAGCTGCACTGTTCTTCAAGTAAATGTGTTTTTATACAATTTTCAGTGGACATTTTTAAAAGTCGTCCTTGTGCATAGAGTTGTATGGTTTGTTTAACTTTGCAATTATTGTTTTTTGTTTGTCATAAAGTGGAAAATGTGAATCTCAGCATCATTCTTTTAGCGTGGAATTGCCCAACTCTTAAAGGAGAACTACTGTCAAAATTTGTTTTTCTCTCTAATATGTAGTGTTTTCCCCATCATCAGATCTTTTCAAATAATCAGAGGTAGTATATTGGGGCCATTTATATGTTTGGTATGAAGTAGGTCATTTGGATTATTATAAAACCATTGTTAAAATAGTTTACCTGTGGTATTCTGCCATCTATTTTCCCCATGGAAGATGTGTCCTTTGTAACAGTAAGTATATCTCCATACCACATGGAGTGTTGTTTGGAACATGTTGGTTTTATATTTCTGAGCTATTGTGTACAGAGAGCTTATTTTGACAGTTTGAAGCTTTCATAGACTATAGAATAACTAACTCATTGGTATTTTAGGCAGCTGGAAGGGGCAGCTGATTCACATAGGGGGCCATTTTCAGATCAGTGGCTTTGGGAGATGAATTACTGAGAGAGCTTAAGCATGAGATGAAGAGACAAGTGAGGGGGATTAGCCAGTGATGACACCCAGTGTCTCTGGGTGAACCCACACAACCAAGGGTCACTGGGAAAGTGCGTTTTAAAGCTGAACTCAGAACTTGAGCGAGAAGCTAATGTCCAATGTAAATGCAGATACTGAGTCCAGAAAGAAACAATCGATATCACTTGCCTTCACTACGAAAGGTTCGGAGTTGGACTTCTTTACACACAAGTCTTCAATATGTACCAGAGAACATGCAATTGCATTACTTATTATATTTGAAATCTACTTGGTTTGTTGTTGTACAGGCTTATTAACAAGGTGACACATTTGAAGTCTGTACATTTGAACAGTCAGTATAATAATGAGGTGTAATATTGATTGAGAGTTGGATCGTTTTACCATAATGCTCTTTGTTTCATGCACTTGTTTTTCGATGAGAGGGTGTTTGGCTATTGATATAGAATTTTACATTCTGTTGTCAAGTACTCCTGAGGTAAAACCACTAATTCAAAGCTGATAGTCTGGACCGATGCCAGCACTAACCCTCAGCTCAAGGTGGACCTTTTTCCATTTGCCCTAAATGTCACCGATTCCCACAGAAGTGATTTGACCGGATACAACCCGATTAATTCATTGTTGTGAAACATTTAGATGAATTTATAGGATATAGGTGTGCGTACAGCATGGGAAAGGTGATGAAATATAGATGTCAGCCTGGGATGCAAGCCAAGAGAATAGTATTTTCCTGCAGCTCTCTCCCTCATCCAGCTGTCTGCCAGCAGCTGCTGTCCCACTCACCTTGCTAGCCATCCGCTCCTTACCGTCCCCGCTGATCATACAGCTCCAACTTGTTTGTTTCAATCATTCCCTGTATGTTTCATAGTAATAGACTACACTATGTATAGGCTAGTCAATGCCAACATGCTCCTGGAATGTGTTGCATGTACAGTGGGGAAAAAAGTATTTAGTCAGCCACCAATTGTGCAAGTTCTCCCACTTAAAAAGATGAGAGAGGCCTGTAATTTTCATCATAGGTACACGTCAAATATGACAGACAAATAGAGATTTTTTTTCTCCAGAAAATCACATTGTAGGATTTTTAATGAATTTATTTGCAAATTATGGTGGAAAATAAGTATTTGGTCACCTACAAACAAGCAAGATTTCTGGCTCTCACAGACCTGTAACTTCTTCTTTAAGAGGCTCCTCTGTCCTCCACTCGTTACCTGTATTAATGGCACCTGTTTGAAATTGTTATCAGTATAAAAGACACCTGTCCACAACCTCAAACCGTCACACTCCAAACTCCACTATGGCCAAGACCAAAGAGCTGTCAAAGGACACCAGAAACAAAATTGTAGACCTGCACCAGGCTGGGAAGACTGAATATGCAATAGGTAAGCAGCTTGGTTTGAAGAAATCAACTGTGGGAGCAATTATTAGGAAATGGAAGACATACAAGACCACTGATAATCTCCCTCGATCTGGGGCTCCACGCAAGATCTCACCCCGTGGGGTCAAAATGATCACAAGAATGGTGAGCAAAAATCCCAGAACCACACGGGGGGACCTAGTGAATGACCTGCAGAGAGCTGGGACCAAAGTAACAAAGCCTTCCATCAGTAACACACTACGCCGCCAGGGACTCAAATCCTGTAGTGCCAGACGTGTCCCCCTGCTTAAGCCAGTACATGTCCAGGCCCGTCTGAAGTTTGCTAGTGTGCATTTGAATGATCCAGAAGAGGATTGGGAGAATGTCAGATGAAACCAAAATATAACTTTTTGGTAAAAACTCAACTCGTCGTGTTTTGGAGGACAAAGAATGCTGAGTTGCATCCAAAGAACACCATACCTACTGTGAAGCATGGGGGTGGAAACATCATGCTTTGGGGCTGTTTTTCTGCAAAGGGACCAGGACGACTGATCCGTGTAAAGGAAAGAATGAATGGGGCCATGTATCGTGAGATTTTGAGTGAAAACCTCCTTCCGTCAGCAAGGGCATTGAAGATGAAACGTGGCTGGGTCTTTCAGCATGACAATGATCCCAAACACACCGCCCGGGCAACGAAGGAGTGGCTTCGTAAGAAGCATTTCAAGGTCCTGGAGTGGCCTAGCCAGTCTCCAGATCTCAACCCCATAGAAAATCTTTGGAGGGAGTTGAAAGTCCGTGTTGCCCAGCGACAGCCCCAAAACATCACTGCTCTAGAGGAGATCTGCATGGAGGAATAGGCCAAAATACCAGCAACAGTGTGTGAAAACCTTGTGAAGACCTGTGTCATTGCCAACAAAGGGTATATAACAAAGTATTGAGAAACTTGTTATTGACCAAATACTTATTTTCCACCATAATTTGCAAATAAATTCATAAAAAATCCTACAATGTGATTTTCTGGATTTTTTCTTCTCATTTTGTCTGTCATAGTTGACGTGTACCTATGATGAAAATTACAGGCCTCTCTCATCTCTTTAAGTGGGAGAACTTGCACAATTGGTGGCTGACTAAATACTTTTTTCCCCACTGTAGCTATACAGTACACACTTGTTTTTCCATTAATCAGTTTCATGTAATACTGTACACACAAATGCCATTCAGTTCATGCATGAGTGAGGGTGTGCCAATGTGTAAAGGGGGAGGGGGATGAATATGATCTGGAATAGGTTTACAATAATCTATCCGGACAACCCTGGCTTTATTAAGACCTTTGCGGAGCAGTGCCATGTTGCATTGAAAATGTAATTGCAATATTTACCTTGTCTTTAGGATACTTGTGCACAACACTGTAAGGCTGGTTCGACATGGCAACTCAGTGGCTAGTAGAGTGTTGTACAACACTGGTGGATCGTTGTACAACGCTGGCGGAATACTGTATTTACGCTGCAGGACAGAGCTTGAGTTGTCATTTTCTCAAACAGTGATATGATGAAAGGTGTAGTAGGAGATCAATTCCATGTTGTGATAATCATCCAAACAGTTATTCCTCCTTGTCAAAAACAAATAAGAAGTAGCCTAGTGAGAACCTTGATTGAAATCAAGATTGGTTTGTCATTAATCTTTGATTTGTTTCAATTTAAAATGTTTGGTTGTTGTCAGAACCATTCCTCAGATATTTTTATACACTAAATCTAATTAGATCTGACCCTAGTTTTACAAATGGCTATTTTTGCTAAGCATACAGGTTGTTGTGATTGGGGTCATCGGTGAAAATACCAGCTACAGCCTGACTTCATTTACTATGCTTATATCCTGGTTTCAGTGGGATCCAAGTGAAAGGGAACAAGGCACTGAACTGTTCATTTATTCTATTTTCCCTTGTTTTCCCTTCTCCTTTAACAAAGTACAAAGATTATTTTTGGTATACATTGTGCTCATTAAAGTCAATATAGCTAGCTAATTGAACTGTGGGGAGAACAGTACATTATATATAATAGCATTGTATAAACTCTTAGTTGTGTAATGTTGCGTTCTCTTTTAATGCGTTTTAATCTACCCACAACATCTCATTGTAATATCCAAACACAATCCATTGATGGTTCGTTTAACATATGGCCTCTCTCCTAACCTAAACCCACACAATACCCAGAGGCTTGCCAAAAATAATTAAATATCATCCATTTTGGAACGTCTGAGCAAGCTTGAAATGGGCACGGTCTAATTGACTCAACAACCAAAAACACATATCTAAGTTTAGTTTTCTTAATGAGCCAGAAAATCAATAGTTATTTCTGGGTTAAAAAAAAAAGTTTGCTTACTAACTCATTGATCCTGCTTTGTAGTATACCCCTCTGGTGTATGTCCTCCATTTTACCTTCTTGTCTTGGAAGGGAATGACAGTGAGTGACAGTCTTGTGTTGCTAATGCTAAATACTGTTGTGTGTTTCTTCCCCCGAAGGGAACAACCCATCTTCAGTGCCAGAGCACACGTCTTCCAGATAGACCCGGCCACCAAGAGGAACTGGCTCCCTGCCAGCAAGCATGCAGTCACCGTCTCCTTCTTCTATGATGCCAACCGGACTGTGTATCGCATCATCAGTGTGGGGGGCACCAAGGTGAGATATAAACCCTGCTGGCTCTCTCTTAGCAACGTGTCCTCATTGCAGTATGATTGAACAGCTGAGTTGCACCAGTGCCGTGCACAGACCTTTTAAGGAGGCAGGTACAACAACAACAACAACAACAAAAAGGCACCCCCCACCCCCTCCTAAATTTTTTTAAAAGACTTTCAGAATTCATATCTCAAAATGCTTTCCAGTTTCATTGACTCACCCAACAATGCGCAGCTCACTCGCCAGAGATGGCCGATGCGCTTGTACCAACAACCTATCTCTCTTGTTTTACTTTGTAAAGCAATGTTCGCTCAATAGGCCTATTTGGAAGTTGATAAAATATTTTGGTAGCCTACAGCAGACAAATAAGATTATTCTCTTTCCAGCAGGAGCCATTTGTTTTTTCAACCTTCCCGCAGATTGTATTTGAAATATTGCGAAGGCCTGTTTTGTCTTCATGCTGTTCACTGACAGATTTGCTGTGCGTGCCTTGTTATTGGGCTACAAACAATCCACAGCTAGGCTATTTTTTAAAAGGAGCTATTGATCCTCTGTGGCTAAATGAAAGGCCTACTCATGGTGTAGGCTATTCTGAATTATTTCATTTCTTTCTGAACAGACGGCAGTAATTCTATAACTTTGGCAAATTTCAATTTATCAGGGGTAATGCAGCACCTCCAGCACTCTTCCCGCGGCAATGATTCTATAAGGAAATAAATGAAGTGCTGCTGCGTTTAGGCCATCAGCCAACAAGACCGAATATTGATGATGTAAATCAAGTGTTATCAAGTGTTAATCAAATGTTATGCTGCTGTGGCAGTAGTAGTACTGTTGATATTTAAACCAAGTAGCTTGCTACACACACTCGACCGGTGACCGTATCTCGCCATGCGATACAGGGCGCGTGCAATCTCCATACATGTGCTCCGTACAGGGCAGACCGACGGGATGGGGTAGGGTGGCGAACTTGGGGGCAGTGGCTGCTTCCCAACACACACACACTCTTTATATGGGAGCTAGGCTGATTTCGACTTATGAGCATGTAACATTTATAGTCCTGCCCCCCTGACAACTTGTCCTACAAAGGATGCTTCAATGGTAGTGAGCAAAACCACATGTTATTAGTCTTTTGCTAAGGTTTCTGACAGTACTGGAGCGAGTGGATGTATTCTTTCTGTCTACTTTCTTTGATTATTCACTGAGAATTCAAAACATGTCTTATGTTCTCGCTCACTGAAAGGGTTGACCTGGTTATAGAGGGAAACTGTGAACTTTTGAAACGTCTGCAATTCAGTGCATTTTGCACAATAATGCCTTTGTCTGATCTGTTGGTAATGTTTTTTGTTTATTCTCTGTGGATTCATTATCAGTAGGCCCCAGGCAAGGTGGCAGAATCATGCAGTGACGCGTGAAGTTTTGCTTTGTTGATTAGAAATAAACAGTTGATTTATGCCTCGGTCTCTGACATACATCACAGGCCATCATCAACAGCACCATCACCCCCAACATGACATTCACCAAAACATCCCAGAAGTTTGGCCAGTGGGCTGACAGCCGTGCCAACACCGTGTACGGCCTGGGTTTTGCCACTGAGCAACAGCTTCAGCAGGTTGGTCACTGCCAGTGTTTTAGACTGTTGAGCACATTTCTAATGTACTTGTTGACTAATCGTTCTGATAATTTAATTTCCTTTTCTCTGTAGTTTTCAGACCAGTTCAAGGAAGTGAAGGAGGCAGCACGTCTTGCCAGGGAGAAATCCCAGGAGAAATTTGAACTGATCAACCCTGCGCTAAATATCGCCGCCCCACAGGTGAGGTCTGGAACTGCAGCTGCTCAATTAGCCCCATAAGCTAACTGCTGAGGCATGACAGATAAGCACAGGGCCATGTGAATGTTAACACACACACACACACTATCTCTTTTAGACACATTGGATTCTCTTGGGATTAGATGGATGCTCTGTCCATTATATTATTTTCCCATTTGGTTAACTCTATTAAAGGATTTCATGCATGAAAAATGGGGATGGTAGGCGGAAACAGGCTCCTTTCAATTTAAACGGAGTGACTGTAATGCCGCCTCCTCATGGGGAAGTGTGAGAGGGGCGGAGTCATATATAAAGGTTTTTTTTTTCTAGGATATCTACGGCACTAACTGTTGAAATGACCAGATAGCCTCCTTTGGGTGATATAATTTTGGGTGTAATAACTTTTAAGGTCAGTAATGGACACCTTGCAAAATAATTTCTAACTCCTCTAAAGATTTTCTTGTACCATCTTGTGTGCTGAAAGGAATTATGTTTCTTGGGAATGGGGAGTTAATATGGGATATATTATCACTGGATTACGTTTGAGGGATTTGCTGTATCAATAATGACAGTTTGAGCCAGTGTGAGTGGGAGACACAATTTATACACCACACAAGCTATGTAAATACAAACTAATTGCATTTGGAAATCAAATTGTTATACAGCTCATTGTTACAGAGCCGACCTGAATCAATCGCTCATCCAATTAATTTTAATGGCTATTTCAGCAAATTGGAATCCATTGTTTGATCAACTTGTTAGGGCCATTTTGGTTATTCGTTGTTGTAGCAACATGCATTTCATGAGAGCAGGGAGGGTGTGTGTGTGTGTGTGCACGCACATATGTGTACACTGCAAACCACTAACTAGAAGCCACTGAACATGAGTAGCTGCCAAGAGTAGAAGGCCGTTTTTTTCCTCAGAAAAGCGCTAGTCAACAGGAAGCAGTGTCCGTACTGTCTACAGACCTTTATGATCACTATGTTTGATGTACAGTTACAAGATGACATGGCGGTATACACTGAGTTGTCCTGAACAGAATGAGCGAATGTTCGTTGTATTGTGAAGAAAATGTGCCGCGCGCCACGCATCTGAATGCGCTCATGACTCCATTCTATGCGCGCCAAAATTACGATATTCTTCTCTGAATTGCCTTGTGAAAGCCTAACACTATAAGGTCATATTTGATAATTTAGCTAGTCGTGTTGGCAATAGAACAAGCGATGATGCCCACCTGACCCAGATTGCAATTTATAATGAGCCAGTTTTGGATTGCGTAAACAACAACAGTAATGGTGTAAAGGCGGAGATTTAGGGCTGTGTTCAAAACAACTACAAGTGTGCTTGCTCTAGTTCCTCAACGGCACAGCTAGGAGAACAAAAAAAGCACTTTATAGTTGAAGACTCTTTTTTTTGTTGTTATAAAAGTGCATTGAAATTACTTAGGAACTGTGCACACTTTGGAGAGGTGTGTGGCCACTTGGAAACACCAGCTAGACCTCTCACTCAAACCCTTGTCATTTTTTTGTGTAATGTTGCACCTACCCCAAATCTTCCAAGAATATTCTTATCAATTCAGCCCTATCCATATAAGACAATTCCCACGAGTGTAAGGGGTTTTAAAGGCATTCTATTGTCAGTATAGAATAAATACCCCAGAGACATCATTGTAGGGGTATTCCTAAATGTGACATAATTCCAACAATACAACAGGAAAGATAATGCATTCTTCCTCATAGTTTTCCTAGACCATACCTGTTTGTGATAATCTCGGCTCATGTTTTATAACGGCACATCTTACCAGGGGCGCAACTTTCACATTCTGAAATTGCATTTTTGTCCCCCCAGTTTTAGCATTGGAATGTGATACAAAAAGAGGCAACTGTGTGCATTAGGACCAAGCGGACGCCTCCGAGCGGTCGGGTAGGCTGTTTGGAGTGTCCCCCCTACTTCTAAAACCAAAGTTGCGCCCCTGCGTCCTACAGCCATGCTTATTTTTATGTGATCTGATTTCTCTCTGTTTTTATCACATTAGTTCCACAAACTATGCCCCCATGTCCGTTGAGACCAGGAGGAAACATTCCTTTGGCTCCTGTGGGAATGTATAATGTAATTGCAATGGGGTCACCTAGGAAACTGGCTGGAGCGCAGTGCATTTCTTTGTACAGTCCACTGACCAATTCCTTTCCTCCATTTAGAGTGCACTCATCCCTATACTTTGAGCCATACACACACAGAGCCTGGCTATGGCTGACTAGCCAGAGGCAGAATGAATCCACTCCAGCACCTCTTGTATTGATTTGTACATAAGACAGTGCGTATCGATTTGTGTTCTATGAATTAAACACAAGTGGTGCTGTTTAATGTAAGAAATATCTGCTGACATTAAGCATGGACACGGCAGTCCTAATATGTTACCACATCATGGAAGGATGACGGTAATTGACTTAACAGTCATTAAGGTTATGGCAGATGTTCTGTCACGTCTGTGGCATAACTGTCCGAAATCTGTCTTACCTACTACTACTAAAACGACATACTGTGTACTAATCATACTACATACTACATTTATTTAGAATGTGCTATTTAGTAAAAACAAATGCAGTAAGGAACAAATATCAACATACTATCACAGATAGAACAATGAGACAGATATCTCACTGGACATATAAATGTGAAGCATCCGCTGGTGTTTCCACTCACTACCAAATATGGAAGTGAGAGGAAGCCCATTGGCCGGCTGTGGGAGTAGATGGAACTAGATGGATTTTGGCCGACATTCTGCAAATTTTCTCATCAATGAAACATTTGATCTCAATACAGTTTTCTGTTCCCAAAACGACAATCTGTGCTGAACAGAATGGATAAAGTTTTGTAGACTTCACCCTTTGCCAAAGTTTTTTTTTTTTTTTTGCGTTGTTTAGAAGGAGTGCAAAGGCGAATTGAGTTATTGTACACGCACACTTCAGACTAAGCGTTCCCTAACGGAAATATGCAAATGTATACTAGAACGTGCCAATAGGATCTTGCTAGCTCGTGCTTGGCTCTGCCCACCTCCTTTCTTGTCCTGCCCACTATGACTAATTTGTTCCCATTGGAAACGACAGGCTGTGGTCTATCTTATATATCTTTTTAAATGATACTATGCTCATCCTACTGAGAATGCCTCATCTAATGCGTTATTGCGTTGATTCCTGCCATTCGTTTATTTTGGTACAGTGCGTCCCCTCAGCTGATTATCAGCTGTTGTCAAACACATGTGGGTCTCGAAAGATGAGTCTCTTCCTCAATAGTGTGCAGCGAATTCTACTAAATGAAGTGGAAGTCAGTATGACTTCCTGGCATTTAAAGAGTAATTCCACCACTTTTCAACTTAATTTTCATTATCTCCAGCACAATACCGGTGTCTACATACATGAAAAATGTGTGGATTCGACTAGTTCAGCCACAACTGTTGCTGACAGGTGTCTATAATCGAGCACACAGCAATGTAATCTCCATAGATAAACATTGGCAGTAGAATGGCCCGTGCTGAATAGCTCAGTGACTTTCAACGTGGCATCGTCATAGGGTGACACCTATCCAACAAGTCAGTTCGTCAAAATTCTGCACTGCTAGACCTTCTCCCCCGGTCAACTGTAAGTGCTGTTATTGTGAAGTGGAAACATCTAGGAGCAACAACGGCTCAGCCGCGAAGAGGTAGGCCACACAAGCAAGCTCACAGAACGGTACCGCCGAGTGCTGTAGTGCGTAAAAATCGTCTGTCCTCGGTTGCAACACTCACTACCGCGTTACAAACTGCCTCTGGACAAGAACTGTTAGTTGGGAGCTTCATGAACTGGGTTTCCATGGCCGAGCAGCCGCACACAAACCTAAGATCACCATGCGCAATGCCAAGCATTGGCTGGAGTGGTGTAAAGCTCGCTGCCATTGGACTCTGGAGCAGTGGAAACGCGTTCTCTGGAGTGATGAATCACGCTTCACCATCTGGCAGTCCGACGGACAAAACTGGGTTTGGCGGATGCTAGGAGAACCCTACCTGTCCAAATGCATAGTGACAACTGTAAAGTTTGCTAGAGGAGGAATAATGGTCTGGGGCTGTTTTTCATGGTTCGGGCTAGGCCTTTAGTTCCAGTGAAGGGAAATCTTAACGCTAGAGCATTCAATGACATTCTAGACGATTCTGTGGTTCCAACTTTGTGGCAACAGTTTGGGGAAGGCCCTTTCCTTTTTCAGCATGACAATGCCCCTGTGCACAAAGTGAGGTCCATACAGAAATGGTTTGTCGAGATCGGTGTGGAAGAACTTGACTGGCCTGCACAGAGCCCTGACCTCAGCCCCATCAAACACCTTTGGGATTAATTGGAATGCCGACTGCGAGCCAGGCCTAATTGACCAACATCAGTGCCCGACCTCACTAATGCTGTTGTGGCTGAATGGAAGCAAGTCCCCGTGTCAATGTTCCAAAAGCTTGTGGAAAGCCTTCCCAGAAGAGTGGAGGCTGTTATAGCAGCAAAGGGGGGACCAACTCCATATTAATGCCCATGATTTTGGAATGAGATGTTCGACGAGCATGTAGTGTATGTGAAAAAGGCGCATTTCTACATTTTGTAGAAAAAAATATCAAGTAAAAAAGTTCTACCCTATGACATCATCAAAAGTTAGATTTAAAAAACAGTGATTTTCAAACACTATGAGATTCGCGGTGATGTGGGAAGCAAGAAAATACCCTCCCTCTGGCAAGGAACTCATTGCAGGTTTTGAAAATCACCGTAAAAAACAGCAACTTTTAATCATAACCTGTGATGTCACAGAGAAGCATTTTTTTTACCCTATCTTTTTAACCACAGATCATAGAAACACGCTGTTTTCACATACTGTATGTACACACTTGTTTGGTGCTGGAGATAATGAATATGAGTTTGAAAAGTGGCGGAATTGCCCTTTTAAAGCATACTACATTTTTGAAATTTCACATGCTGTAAAATGTTCCATTTCCGCATACCCAAAATGCCTATTTTTTTAGAACGCAGGTACAGGTA